TTCACAGTGTAAATAATTTTGGTCCAGGCATGGCTGAGTGGCAAAAATAAAAAATGTGCCGAATCGGCGCGGCGATTATTTCACAGTGTAAATAACTTTTTGTAAATGTTCTATTATTAGTTCTGGAAAGAACACGACCTCATCTATGGATTCTCAAAATTTCAGATTTTTGTGCATGTTCGTCCGAGCACAGAAAATCGCCAAAGTTGCCTCTTGCAAAACACTTATTTCGTTGTGCCTGACCTCCTTGTTTTGAGAAGACGGGGCTCAATGCCTGGGCCCGAGGGCCCTTTTGCAGTTTACATGCCTGCACTTCTTTTGGGGGTCCGCTTCTACCCGGGCACCGGTCCAACGCCCCCCACTTCTTTTTGGGGTCCACTTCCACCCGAGGACCGGTCCTTCCTTTTTCCAAAAGTCCCGGTTCTACCAGAGCTAGCTGTAGGTAGTTCACAATTTTGCCAAGGACTGATCCCCCAAATTTTTTTGCCCCCTAAGAACCCACTTTGTGTCCTGGTCGCCCGCCGTAAAAAATGCGATACCTTGACACAGACGCGGAAGCCCAATATACCGCAACCTTAGGGCTGCGAATTCCGGGACTCCACAGCCCGCATTTCGTGGTCTGGAAGATTGCCTGTGGACGTTTTCACATGGTCCACGGTCTGGAAAATGGCGAGCCGAGAAAATGACGCCGCAAATTTGTGCCGAAAACTGAGGTTGGCCCTCAGAGTTGTCTTGAACTTTTCCAAAACCAGGTCCCGTGGACGGGAGGCAGCAGCCAATAGCGATGAAGAGTGCCAAAAAAAAAAAAAAAAAAAAAAAAAAAAAAAACCGAAAAAATAACAAAACAAACGAGTGCCAACGGAAACAGGCAACGATTGGCTCAACTGATTTCTAGAGGGTTTTCCAAGAGCATTTGACCCTCTGCGATAGGGTCCCGAAAAAAGGTACTTTCGTACTTTCCAAAATGACTTGCCCGCTTTTCGTGGCCACACGTCTTTTCCATCCGCACCACTGTGAGCTAAGAGGAAACATCCCTGCCCACCTTCCCAGAAAGGAAAGTGGTGGTTTGTCCGAGTAGTCATGTGACAATGTACAACAGTAGATAAGCGACACCACTATGTTCCTGGACCAGCATTGACTTACCGTGAGGGCACTACACTATGTTCCCGGACCAGCATTGACTTACCGTGAGGGCACGGGTGCGCAACCCGTGAGGGCACGGTGCGCAGCCCATAATTTGTATATGCTTGATTGATAAAGGAGGCGTGTTGCATGAAAAAAAAGAAGTATTTGTGTGTATGTGTCAAAATTAGTGCCTTAGCAGCCAGAACCGTGTTCACGAGAGAACATGGGGGGGCTGCCTATATGCCTACAATTAGGAGTAGTGGTAGGTAGGTAGTGGTAAGACATACCTTGCTTCATAGTTGGTGTCGAGGTTGGTGGTCATTCAATTGTGGTTTATATGTCGTATATGTGTGTGCTTGAGTGTTCATTGTTGTAAACTTTTTTTTTTATTGAATAAAAGTTGTTTGGTCACATGTGACTCACTCAATCGGGTGCTGAACGTGTGGGGCGTTGAATACGTCCACGTTCAGGCAGATCTGTTTGCACTTGCAAATGCAATGCAGGTGTGTCGTTTCAACCTGCGGCCAAGGCCGCGCCGTTTTTGATTCAGACTTTTCCACTTTTCCACCCTGCCGCTGCTTTGCCACCGTTTCGGCCAAAACCCAACGCGCGGTCCCACGGGCAGCTTCCGGTCCCTCATTTTTCAAAGAAACTGCCACCCCCCCCCAAAGATCCACCCTGTCGTTGCTTTGTCACCGTTTCGACCAAAAACCACCGCGCAGTCTCACAGGCAGCTACCAGTCCCGCATTTTTCAAAGAAACTGCCACCAAAAGAAACTACCACCCCCCCCCAAAGTGTCATGCCTGCACCTGCGTGCATTTTTTGAACCTTCCAATGACCAAACGAGCCCGAATCAACGATCGGTATAACGAAGGACAACGAAAATGTCTCGGGGGGAAATGTCTCAGGGGGGGGGGACGCACCCCTGACGGGCGGCCAACAAGGCCAGTGGGCGAACACCTTCTCGCCCAACTGGGGGAGGAGACCTTGAAAACTTTCGAGATTCCGCCCCCCCCCATACTCTACACTCGGCACAACATTGCGCGAGAATCCCTTCCGGGGGAAAACGGATTTCAGTCATTTTCCAGACAAAAAAACGGCAGGCTGTGGGGTCCCGGAAAACAGTTCTACGGAAAGAATCATAACTTTCCACGACCTCTTCCGCGCGTTGTGAGGCCTCGGTAACAGTTATGCGACAAAGTTTTTCCATTCCGCATTCTTGTGGGGTCCAGGCCTGAGTGGGTGGGCCTCTGTGCTGATAGGTGGGCTGAACGCGTCTCGTGATTTCAGTCCTTTTCCAGACAAAAAAACGGAGGCTGTGGGGTCCCAGGAAACAGTTCTACGGAAAGAATCATAACTTTCCACGACCTCTTCCGCGCATTGTGAGGCCTCGGAAACAGTTATGCGACAAAGTTTTTCCATTCCACATTCATGTAGGGTCCAGTTCTGAGTGGGTGGGCCTCTGTGCCAACAGGTGGGCTGAACCCGGCTCGTGAAGCCCTTGCCGGACTTCCTCCCTGGGTAATATCCCCGACACCCGAAACCCTTTCATAAAATAAAAATAAAAACAAAAAGGAGAAATATATATCGTTGTCTCTCGATTAAGAGAAGACAAAAAAAAATCTCCTTTTCCTCTCCCCCCTCTCACAGACCCCGCTTGAGCCCCCCACCCCCGTCCCCGCCTTTTCCCCGCCTCTGCCGTCACAACCACTGACCTCAATCCCTTCTCCACCTCTATCCCTCCCGACACACTCCCCACCCGACACTCCCCCCCCCCCTCCTCACATGCCCTTGCCAACCCCTATCGATACACAAAAGGAGACAAGAGGAGACATCGGACCACCGGGCCCTATGGGATTGTGAACGTACAACACGCTTTGGGCTGTTCTCAAGATACATGGCTACAAGACAACCAACAACTCCAAATGGCTTGTTGGGGCCGATCTCTACACCATGAATCAAAGGACCAGACATGGCCAGACATGGACAGTAGATTGACACAGAGAACAACAGAAAACCTCTTAACTTGCAGCAGAAACAGTCTACATCTCCGCTCTCACCTGACGATGTGAAGTAAGCAAGTAACTTAGGCCACAACAGCAGATCTACCTTCCAAATCTCATTCTTGGAAGGTGAGCCCTGCAGATTGCATTTCAGGCTTCAAGGATGACGAAGGTCATGTGCATGAGGTTGGAGAGGGTATAGGGTTTAAGGGGTTCAAATGGGACACATACTATAGGGGGGCTGTTGAACAGGGCTGGGCTAATAGATAATGGGGTGCTCTAAGAGGGGATGGGTGTCACTAGCAGCTCCAAGGGACAATGGAGGCCCGGATCTGAGAAGAGAAAAACCCACAGCCCCCGGAAAACAACAAACAACAATCTCTGTGTTACAAGATGTACCAATGGGACATTGGACCCGGTTTCCAGCAGGTGCCGCTCCCCACCAATAGATGGAGCAGCCCGATAGAGAAACCCTCAATCCCGACGGTTTTCTTACCACCGCCGGGATAGAGGGCTTGCCCGGGTTCACTCCACATTTGGTGAGT